TTCGTCATCAAAACTAAGTAAATTATGGTTACAAAAATTAAACTTAACTGAATGTGCTAGCATGTATAAAAAAATTGTTAAACATGGCTGTTTATACATGTCTTCAGTAAAAGTTAATCAGCGCTCAAACAATTCTTTCGCTAAATTGCAGGACGGTACATATGTGAAACTAAATTCATTTGTAGTTGATACAAATATTAATTCAGAATACGCGATAGTTCAAGTAATTCAAACGTCTAACGCATATGGTGATTTTTATAGTATGTTGCGAAAAATTAATAAAATTTGTGAGAATGAAACAGCTGTACCAACCGACAATATCGTAAGTGTATGTGTACACATAAAAATAAAAAATAATGAATATCTCTGTGCAGTTCCTAATTTATGCCATTATTAATAGATTGGCTTAATAATTAAGAGGCCCCATGCAATATCGCATTAGGCGCTTAAGTTAAGTTATAGCGCATAGTGCGTTATTGCATGGGATCTCTCAATTGATTAGGTAAATATGCTCTTTTAATTAAAATCAGTTCACGAAAAGAAAAATTTTTATGTCACAAATATGTAAAACTTAAGAGACTTTCTTAGAGAAGTAACAGTCATTAAACCACTTTATTTTAAAGGAATTTAATTAGAATTTAGTTTAAAAAAATCATAAATCAGTTTTACATTCTATTAAATTCGCATCAAACACTACTTTAATTCATAATTGAAGCGAATAAGACTTCAACTAATACGGACTAAAACAGATATCAGTTTGATTAAACAACAATACAACTTCGAAATAAAAAAAAACAAAAATAATAATATATAACAAATATAACAAAATTAACATAAAAACCATTAAAACATTGCTAGCTGTAATCCGATAGTTTTGTTAAAAATTTTAACTGGATTTGTAAAATGTTGTATGTTAAGAAACAGTGTTCAATCTTCAATATTTATAAATAAGAAGAAAATAAAGAGTTATTTAAAAATATTACTTTTTCTTCTAACTTTTTATTTATTTAATAAACATCAAAGTAAAAAAAGTTAAAGTACTTTTAAAAAAATTAGTAAACAATTTGCTAATAAATAAAACTCACTTATATCAAAGTGTTTTTTGTTTCAAATAATTCAGGCAATTTTATGCTTTTTCACAATTTTTTGCTTTTTTCCAATTTTTCTCAATTAAAAATATTAAGTTTATTGAATTTATTTATTTAAACAGTACAAATAAATATTTACTTAAAAATTGAAAACTATTAAAATAATAAATAATTAGAAAATGTGATTAAATAAATTGGTTATATTGTATTTCTTGGTTATTTCAATCTTTTACAGATTTATAGAAAGTCAGATAACGTATTTCCCAAGAATTTTCATATTTTTCAAACGATTTTTTACTGTGGTCGTTAATTACGTCGCATACGACGTCGTATATGACGTCGGATCCTACTATTCCAATTTCCAACGTCATAATCGTCGTAGTTTACGACGTCATTTACGACGCTATTTACAACAAAGTTGTCGACGTAGTTTGCAACGTAATTTATTTCGTAGTTTACGACGTAGAAATTTTTAATAGGGTGATTATCAAAACTTATTGGTTTATCACCAATCATAAAAGATCCATCTCTGAGTTTGCGTACTCCATATACTGTATCCAAACACTGCTTTCTGTTATGATTTATCAAGTACAAATATTTACCAACTACTTTTTCATAGTCAAATCCTGGAATGGTTTCATTCTCATCAGCACTTATATAATCTTCTTCTTCTTCTTCTTTATCTTCTTCTTCTTCCTTTTTTTCAATTTTAAAATTTTCACGTTTAATATTAGTCAAGTTCACAATTTTTTGCAAGGGTTGTACTATAGGTTTGAAAGTTTCATTTATGGCATTTTCAGCATCTTCTTTACCCAATTTCAATATGCGATGCTTCTTTCTAATTGCATCACTAGCTTTAGCAATTTGATGAAGATATTCTTTCTCTTTATGATACATGTTGATATTTCAAGGTTTAAACCAAAACTAATATCATTTTAAGAGATGATCATATATTTATAGTGTTACAAAACTGTCAAATCCTTTTCTATATCTTCCCTCATTTAAATCGGAGTCTTTATCAATAACAACAAAACCATACTTGTCTGAATTCCAACATTTTGAACATAGCTCTCGAAACTGATTAAATGTCATATCAGTATTAACATGATCATCATATACATGTCGCAAATTTTTTTCATCTTGACGAAAGAGAACTAATAAATTAACATTATCTCGCACTAGATGTTTAGGAATTCTTGCATATGTCTGACAAAGATAGAAACAATCAACATCAACATGCCTACCCATACAAAAGAAAGCCCTTACATTGTCTTGTTTCTCACAGGCAATATCATCAAATATAAATATTGAATTTTTCTTTGCATCTTTAGGAGAAATTACTTCTTCATGATCACTAAATGGCAAGTACTCAACTCCATCAACGTTACTTACAACTTTTTCCAAGAACTTATACTTTGGTTGTTGTAATGATTTTGAGTATAAATAAATGTTTTCAAATGTAAGTCCATTGGGATGTAAAATTAGAGAAAGTAATACATTTGTTTTTCCACAATTTGATGGACCACAGAAAATTGCTCGAATGCTTCCTGACAACAAGCTCCCATGACGCTTCAACTTCTTCTCTTGTTTTTGAACAATTGAATCCAGATTCACGACTGGAAGCTTGTGAGGTTGTTCTTTGAATCGCATCCTGATGTAGACTGCCGCAAAAGGTATAAATATAACGCTTATATAGCTTTCAAGTCATTCCTCTTTCAACTTTCATAGAGTAAAGTATGATTTTACATCGTCGCTCTCGAGGTAAAGGTTTAGTTAATAATCTTATAAATAAATTACCATTTGAATTGCATTTGCCAGGTTACCAATACTGTGGACCAGGTACAAAATTAGCAAAACGTCTTGCTCGCGGTGATCCTGGTATCAACCCACTAGACGTGGCGTGTAAGGAGCACGATATTGCATACTCAAAAAATCGAGAAAACGTTGAAGCAAGAAACGTTGCAGATAGAGTACTATCTGATAAAGCGTGGCAAAGGGTTATATCAAAGGATTCTAGTATTGGTGAAAAAGCTGCTGCTTTAGCTATTTCTGGTACAATGAAGGTTAAATCAAAATTAGGTATGGGGGGTAAAAAGAAATCAAGGACAAAAAAACGAGTTAATCTTAGAAAAATTGTTGATGCTGCTAGGAAATCCATTATTCCAGGCAATGATCCTAGCTCAACAATCAAGGCAGCTATTGAAACTGCTCGAAGAGCTGTCAAAAGAGTAGGAGGTAGAAAAAAAGTATTAACACCTCGCATTCTTCCAGTACCAACAAAAGTTGGTGGTCTATTACCATTAATTCCAATTTTTGCTGGACTCAGCGCTCTTGGAGCACTTACTGGAGGAGCAGCAGGAGTTGCAAAAGCCGTCAATGATGCAAGTGCAGCCAAAGAAAGATTAAAAGAAGCTCAACGTCATAATAGAGCAATGGAAGAAATTAAACTTGCAAAAGGTCTTCACTTGAAACCATATAAACAGGGTTTGGGCTTGCATTTAAACCCTTTGTTAAAAGGATCAGGTCTACATTTAAAACCTTATCAAAAGGGTCAAGGAATAAAAAAAAAAGGTCTTAAATCTTCCTGAACGACCACTAAATAATTTTGATATAATCAAGTATGCTAAAGCAATGAAAATTCCTCATTTTCGAGGAGTTTTTATGCGAAATGAGTTACCTATAGGAGGCCCTGGAAAAAATGAATCAGCCATTATAAATCTCGATGATATAGATGGTCCAGGTACTCATTGGGTAGCATTTAAGAAAGTTAAAAATAAAGCAGAATATTTTGACAGTTTTGGTAATCTTCAACCACCATTTGAACTTGTCAATTATCTTGGCTATAATACTTTAATACAGTACAATCATCAAAATTATCAAGATTATGATACCTTTAATTGTGGTCATTTATGTCTTAAATTTTTATGTGGACAACTGGAAATGACTCAGAAATATACTCTATTTAAATGATGGTAAATCTATATATCTATTTAGTCTATCAAAAGTCATCATCATGGATGAATCGTTCACTCTAACTATCTCAGGAAATTCGTCTATTCTCGAGGCTGAATATTTTCCTCCTATAGAATTATTACCTCATAAAAATTATGTGCTTGGTTTAGTTGAGTTGTTAACGTTTAATTCAATACCAAATATAGATGAAGGTAAAAATAAATTTTATATTGGTAATCATGTAATTACTATACCCCCTGGCAGTTATGAAATAGAAGATATTGAAAAATTTATTCAAAACTCTATTTCTGATGGGTCAAAAATTATAAGTATAAAACCAAATAACAATACTTTACGTAGTGAAATAAAAAGCAGTCTTAATGTAAATTTTACACAAGAGGATTCTATTGGTGAATTATTGGGTTTCACTCCACGAGCTCTAACTGCCAATAATACTCATACATCTGATATGCCAGTAGCAATTCTAAAGGTAAATGCTATCAGAATTGAATGCAGCATTACCACTGGCGCATACATTAACAATAAAAAGGTACATACAATTCATGAATTCTTTCCAGTTGTTCCTGCTGGATATAAGATCGTGGAAGTACCATCTCACATCATTTATCTTCCGATCGCCGTAAAGATAATACATAATATTCAACTACGTATTGTTGATCAAGACGGAGATTTGATAAATTTTCGAGGTGAAACTATAACAATTCGATTACATATCAAGTCAACATAATGGGTATTGTATACCATAGAAAAACTGGTGGAAGCTATATAAGTGAATCACCATGTCAGAAGACATTCAGTCTTCAATCAAATCACAAGAGGTTAACACCTCAGAACATACAGTTCCTGAAAAAGCTCGGTCTAAGAGTTTATCAAGAAAAAAAAGTAAAAAACAAAAAATTATAGTTTATACATATTTTTTTTGTTGTTGTAGCTACAAAAATGGAAGAGATTTTAAACATTCAAACTCCTGTCAAATATGACAATTCTCTAGCACATTATGAGATTCATGCACATCAGCCATACGTTTCATCAGCATTTAATAACAGTGATGAGATTCGTATTGCAGTTCAACATCAAGATTTATACATTCTGCCCTCTAAAAGTACCTTACACGTACAGGGAAGATTAACAAAAACTGACAATACTGATGTGACTAATACAAAGCTAATTAGTAATGGCATTTGTTACCTGTTTAGTGATATTCGATATGAACTTAATGGAGTAGAGATTGATCGTTGTAAAAATGTTGGTCTAACAACAACTATGAAGTCTTTAATTTCTCAAACACCTAATCAAATGATTTATGCTGAGAATGCTGGTTATATTGACTATGATGATGCTAGTAGAGTAACTAATGATCATGGATATTTTGATGTAAATGTACCCCTAAATATGATTCTTGGATTTGCTGAAGACTATCGAAAGATTGTTGTAAATGCAAAACATGAACTTATTTTAACAAGATCTCGTACAGATCTTAATGCTATAGTTAATATTCAAGGATTAGAACGAGAAGAATTTAAAATTGTAATAAATAAAGTTGAATGGATGATTCCATATCTATTTGTTGGTGATCGACAGAAAATTGAATTGTTAAAATTCACTGAAAAAGATTCACCAATAACAATGAGTTTTAGATCATGGGATTTGTATGAATATCCTATGATTCCTGCTACTCAAAAACATGTATGGACTGTAAAAACATCAACACAAATTGAAAAACCTCGATATGTTATCCTTGGTCTTCAAACAAATCGAAAAGAAAATCGAGCAAGATATTCAAACTTTTTTGATACTTGTAATTTAAATAATGTTAAACTTTTCTTAAATTCACAATACTATCCTTATGGTAATTTGAATTTAAATTTTACTCAGGGTCAGTATTCTGTTCTCTATGAGATGTATTGTAATTTTCAACATTCATACTATGGAAAAGATCCTGAACCTTTGTTAGCAAAACATACCTTTCAAGAGTATGCACCATTGGCTGTTATAGATTGTTCAAAACAAAATGAATTTCTAAAACAAGCATCTGTAGATGTTCGACTGGAATTTGAAGCAAGTGATAACTTTCCCGCCAATACAGCTGCCTACTGCTTAATTATTCATGACCGTATCATTCAGTACACACCAATTAGCGGTATTGTTAAAAAAGTATCATGAATGGTGGGGGTAAATGAGAGAGGTGGGGATAAGATTATAAAAAGAGCAGCTGTTGGAGGTTTGAGTCATTTCTCTATTACAGATACCATGGCGTACGTCGTAGATATCCAATGCTTTAAAAGAGCCTACAATGAGTTTGTTGTGAAGGAGCTAGCCATCCTACCTCTTCAAGAAGATGCTCATCCATTGGTCTTCCTATTCGAGCCACCATATGCCTGGAGCAAATTACCTGCAAGGTACAAGTGTCAGAACCGATGGCTTACGAATAATTATCATGGTATTTATTGGACTGATGGTGACATACCTTATGAAGATTTACCATCACTACTAAAAGAAATATTAGTCGGTACACCTATAGTTTATGTTAAAGGATTAGAAAAACAAAGATGGTTAGAAAAATATACACTGAATGTAATAAATTTAGATGATTTACAATGTCCATCGTTGAAAAAACTGGTTATGGATCAGTTTACTGCTACTATTACATGTACAAATCATAAACATAATTATAGTATTTGTGCTGTACAAAATGTATATAATCTTCGTGAATGGTTACTACAACCATCCAATGTACTACGACTACATATTCCACAGGGTACTGATGAAGTAGACAATTCTACATTAAAAGATTTTTATAATGATTGTGAACATTTTTTGCATGGTTAATAAATGTATTTAATAATAATAGTAAAAAATCGTTTATTTATTTTCCTTCATTGCGTAATAATGACGTCACTATACAACAACGTAATAGGTTAAGTGGGGGTACTGCGCATGCGTTAAAATAAGAGTGGGGTACAAATAAAGATGGATTTAGCTAATTTACTCATTATTCTTTAGTGAGTCCTAATGATAACAATGTCAAAATCAAGTCAAGACAAGCCAGTGCCAGCACCCAGGCAACCAAAGCCAGTGCCAACACCAAGGCAAACAAAGCCAGTACCAGCACCAAGACAAACAAAGCCAGTGCCAGCACCAAGGAAAGGGTAAATTGCGCATGCGTTAGAGTAGGAGTGGGGGAAAGTTTAATGCGCAAGCGTGGAATATGAGTGGGGGTAAATGGTGGGGATATAGAGTATAAATGTAAGGAGTTTTAACTAATTTACTCATTATTCTACTGTGTGCTGATACAATACAGTCTCTAAAAAATGGATCTAACCAAAATCAACGCAGTTGGTCGACTAGAGGGTTTCCTGCCTACGAAGCCGCTTTCCGAGTTGACTCCTGGACATAAGTATCCGATAACAAAGATCCAGGTTGTCAACACCAAATATGGAGGCAAGGTAGTCATTGAGATAGAACAAAAATATAACAGCTACCTACCATCCAGATTTGTAACGCTGTTCACTAGCGATCCAACATTATTCACTGCAATCCAAGAAGCTGCTACTTCCGGCCAATTACGTATGAAATACATTGGCGGTCCATACAACCATGTAGAATTTAAGATTAAATAAATGTAATTGTTGTATAGCTGATGATGATAAATAAATGTATAAAAATTATATCTTAATGTCTTTTTAATTTAGATTAAGTTGAATTTTAAGGTTATGTTTCAATTAGTTGGTAAATCTACATTATCGACTTTGACAAATCTGCATTACCGACACTTGGTAAATCTGCATTACCGACTTAGGTAAATCTACATTACCGACAGTTGGCAAATCTGCATTACCGACAGTTGGCAAATCTGCATTACCGACTGTAGGTAAATCTGCATTACCGACTGTAGGTAACTTAGCCGAGATATGAACCTGTCCTAGAACTCTCATAGCTCTACTACTAATGATTTTTTCTAAACATATGAGTTTTCCTTAAAAACAATATGATCATCAATTCCAATCGTGCTCGCTATATTTTTCCTGTAATCTATACGCAAAAATACGCATGTATACCAAATATGAACTGTCTTGGTCAAATAGTGTGTGCGCTAGGACGATTAAACGCTTCTTTCAAAATTTTTGATTTTTGATTGACAACGCTATGTAAATCGATACGAATCATGTTCGCTATATTTTTCCTGTAATTTTCACGTAAAAATACATAAGTGTACCAAATTTGAGCTCTCTATGTGAAAAAATGTGGCCACCAGGGGGGGGGTACATAGTCATTTTTAGGGATTTTTCGTAAAAATTCATGGTTTTTCCTTGACAACACTATGATAATCAATTCCTATGAGATTCGCTATATTTCTCCTGTAATCTACACGCCAAAATACATATGTGTACCAAATTTCAGCCTTCTAGATAAATTCGTGTGGCCGATAGGGGGGGAGGGTACATGCCTTGCTCTACTAGTCTCATAAATAGGGTTCCCTCTTCGGGTACGGAACCCTAAAAATTGTAATAAATCAGTCAAAAATAGTTGTTGCTTGATACCTGAAGGTTTTTAGGTACGGAAAACCAAAAAAACAAAATGGCGTATCCAATATGTCCGACGAATTTTTAAACAAATAATAAAAATGTCGTTAAAACTTGCTGAGCAGGGGATTTTATAAGGCATAAATCACTAAGTAAATACAATGTACCTAAACGGATGGATAGATGGTTAAATAGATGGATTGATAGGTGGATGAATATATTTGGATATTGGATGGATGTCTTTGCAGATGGATTGGTGGATATATTAATTGATGTATCTAGATATATTTGTAGATGATTAGATGGATTGATCAACATCTGATCCATTAATATTAAATGCATCAAATGATCTTGCTTGACTGTCTGGATCATTACGTGTTCTTGCCTTTATTGTCCGGTTCAACATTTCATCCTTTAATGTTATCTGTTCATCTTTCTGTAAGCCATGTATCCATCCATCCAATCAACTACAAATCTATCTAGACGTGTATTTATCCATGTATAATCCATCAATCCATCTCCAAAAATATGCATCCACCTGTTCATCCACCCATCAATCCATCTATTTAACCATCCATCCATCCGTTTAGGTATATTACATTTACTTAGTGATTGATGCCTTATAAAATCCCCTGCTCAGCAAGTTTTAACGACATTTTTATTATTTGTTTAAAAATTCGTCGGACATATTGGATACGCCATTTTTCTTTTTTGGTTTTCCGTACCTACAAACCTTCAGGTAACAAGCAACAACTATTTTTGACTGATTTATTACAATTTTTTATTATTTGTTTAAAAATTCGTCGGACATATTGATTCCGCCATTTTGAATTTTTTGTTTCTGACTATAGATTCTTATTCGGTAACCCTAAAAACCCTCAGGTAACAAGTTACAACTATTTATGACAGACTTATTACAACTAAACATTAATGTGTAATAATACACGTAAGTTCAATATTTGCCATGTTTAAGCCCATGTAGCTCGAAAACTGTCCATTTTTTGGATTTTGCCAGAGAACTTTTTTGCTCAGAATGCAAAAATCTACATTTCTGCCAAGTTACAGAAAAATTGACTGGGATCTATTTTATATACATTTTGTGCGAGGTCCTTTTCTTGTTTCTGACACAAACTGAGGTACTCAATTTGTTTATGATTTTCTGTGAAATACACAATAAATTTTTTTCCGTGTAACATATATGATAAATTTTATTCTTTGCATCGAGACGAACCGATTCGTGTATGTAAAGTACCAATGTAGCAAGTAACATTACTGTAATGTCACTGTAACACATGTAATGTTAGTAATATTACAATGTAACATTAAAGTTACACAACAGCAATAGTAAAATGTCCGCCCCAAGTTAATATTACAAGTAATGTTACAGTGACATTAGATAGTGATATTACTGTGATGTTGCAGTAGTGTCACTGTAATATTACAGCAGTGTCGCAGTAATGTTACAAAGAAAGTTGATAAAATTATTATTATACTGAATTTTACGATCTTTCTTTGTAACATTACAATGACATTGGTGTAATATTACTGTCACAATACCGTAACACTACTGCAACATCACAATAAAATTACCTTGTAATGTCACTGTAACATTACTTGTAATATTACCTTTGAGCGGACATTTTAATATTGCTCTAATGTTACTGTATTGTTACATTGTAATATTATTAACAATATACATGTCACATGACAGAGACATTACAGTAATATTGCGTGCTATTCTGGGTATAAATTATATCAGAATTTAGTGAGTTAATCACAATTACAGCGGAAAAATGAGTATTTTTATCAAAAATTCAATACTTTATTCAAAATTATGTAACTGTACAATCCCTTGCGACTTGGTTTGGAGGAATGAGGGTCGAATTCGACCCTGGTTCCTACCTCGTTCCTCCCTAGTTTGGGGAAATTGCAAAAAAACAGTAGTAAATGATAAATAATGCATAGAAAACAATTACTAATAGCAAAAAACTATTAGTAATTGTTTTTATGAAATATTTATACTAAATTAAACAATAATTAATAATTAATAGTAATTTAAAATAAGTATTTCAAGTGAAATACTTCCTACCTCTTTCCTACCTTGTTCCTCCCTCAGTTCGGGAAATTGTAAATATATATAATTTTGTCCTGGAAATTAAAATTAAATAATTAAATTTGTTTAATTTCATTACTTAATTAAGACAACTGACATAAATACGAAATAAAGAAAAAGTAAAGTTTTTATTTACAGCTGTCAAATGTGAATCTACTTTACCGGCCGTCGCGATTTTATTTGTCAACACAAGATGTCGCGTCGGACAAACTTGTAGCAAAATTGTTGGAAATTTTGAATTGATGGAAACATAATATAGAATAATTGAAAACAATACCAGAGTTTATACCACATTTTTGTTTCATAATTTACTGACTTACGCTTAATAAAAAAAAATTTTTTTTTAATTACAAATTTACACCTTTTTTTGAAAATCATAAAAATTTTTGACAACTTATTTTAAAAAGAATTATTTTATTTTCATTTTTTAAAGCAGAAAATGAATCTTATAATGCATAGTACTTAATAAAAAAAATTTTTCAATATTGTTTTTTCTGTTTTTGAGATATTAATTAATTAATTAATTAATGTTAAAAAAAATATTTTATACACAAATAAAATTACACGTTTTAATCTTCTTTATTGAATAAACTTGGATTAAACTTGGAAAAAAATAAAATTATTGGAACAATTTTTGCAAGTTTAAGGGGGGCGCCTACTTTATCGGGTCAAAAAAATCGATTTTTTAAAAGTTGTCTTAACTGAAAGTACAACTATCAGAGAATATGCTCTTAAAATATTATGTCAAAATACAAAATATTTTTCGAGTTACAGCTTGTAGAACGCAATAAAGCGCGTGGCCTGGCGCGCGAATCCACTCGCGGTCTCTAATACTTTTCATAATTTGTTGCGCTTATCTACTATTACATCTACCATTAAAATTACAATTTATCAGTAAAATGTCGTCTTATCTAAGAGCTACCCATAAAAAAAATAGTCGTTCATCGAGGCCTGTGACTGCCGTAAGTTTTTAAAAAACAGCACTTATATGTTTTTCAATCTTTAAACTCGTTTTTTTCAAAACACTGTTTTTGTAGTTTGCGTACACGATAGACAAAAATCTATTCAACCGATTAAGGTCTACCTGGGCTTGTTTTGAAGATAAAAAGTGTCTCTTCTGTATGAATTAAATTTGTTTTTGATAGAGTTAAATTTAGTGCTTTTTTTTAAAGAAAAAATGAGATTTTTTTTGGCGAAAATTAAATTTTTTTTAAAAAAGTCATGTAAAAATGTCAGTTTTTACTTTCTATTGAAATCTTTTAATTCATACAGAAGGCAATAATGTATATTTAAAGAAAAAATTTTGTTTTTTTGTTTTGGATAAGAATTGTGGACCCTAGGTTGTACGCAATGGGAAAATTTCAGCAGCGAGACGTTATATATATGGCGTTTATTTTATTATTAAATTCTATTTTCATTTAATCAAAAAATTATATTTCAAAGATTTAAATATATAAGAAAACATACACTAAATCTCGCATCAATTTATTTAAATGTGTTTGAGAAAAAAATTCCTGAAATGTACGCAGTTTTTTACATTCTAAAGTAGGCGCCCCCCTTAACAACCCCTTTTTTATATAAAAAATGCTTAAAATATATTTTATTGGTTTATAAACAATTTTTAAGCGAATTAATTTACACCGTTGGGAACATTTTTGACTAATTTTTTTGAATGAAATTGGTTTGAAATTTGGAAAAAAAAATTTTTAATTATTGGAACAATTTTTTCACGTTTAACAACTCCTATTTTATAAGAAAAAAATTATAAAATATTTTTTATTGGTTGTTAAACAAATTTTAAGCGAATTAATTTACACCGCTATGAACAATTTTGAATAATTTTTTTGAGTAAAATTATTTTAAAATTTGAAAAAAAATTTACAAGGAATGCATAAAAAGTGACGCTGTTTTGTTACAGTTGTTGTTTATAAAAAATGATAAACAATTGAATGTTTAATATTTTAATAATGATTTTACTAAAAAGCATGTTTCAAACCGAAGTCAAAATATCATTTATATTATTGACAATCAAGGCCTGAGACAAAAATACGAATTTAATAATCTGATTTTTGTGTCATTTGAAAACAATAAATAATAGTTTAAAAACTATTATAAATAAAATAAATGGACCTGACTATTCTACGCAATTCTCGAATTTCTTTTCTATTATATTTTATTTTTATTTCAAAAGCGCGCGGGTAATTTTTTTATCATGGACGCGGTTAGGTAACTAGATTTTGATTGGTTGACTTTATCAACATATGGCGAGACCTGTATAATGAGGATCATGTGTATAATGCTTTAATATGCGCTCAGCTGTGCTTGCATGTGCTCAATTCGCAATATAGCTCTCAAGAAAATTTCTTGATTTCTCGCTTCTAATATTATAAACTTTGGAAAACAAAGAACATTTTAGTGCCGGAATTAGTGAAGTGTGATACGAAACGTTTATTTTACGATCGTGAGTTTTCAAACATTTATTGAAAGTGAGTGAGTACGTTGGTGCCTGTGGCAGATCTTATTCTGCGTGGGTCGCAGCTTGTTGCCGGGAACAGGATTTACCACTGCTCTAACCTCATTTTCTGGTCCGGAAAACTCGCACACTATGTAAGTCTCTTTATGACATATTATATTTATTTTACCATATACTTTCACTGAGAAATAAGGTTTGAGCTGACAACCAAATATTTCATTCAATATATGTGCAACTAAAATTTTTTGGTTGTCACAACTAAACTTTAGTTGACAACAACCAAAGTTTGTTTCAGACGACTAAATAAGAAAATGAAAAAGAATTTGGTAGTCTCAACCAAACTTTGGTTGATGTCAACTAAAGTTTAGTTGTGTCAACCAAAAAATTTTAGTTGCACATATATTAAATGAAATATTTGGTGGTCAGCTCAAACCTTTTTTCTCAGTGTTCTATTAATACACTGTAAAAAGTCCAAACAGAATTTTCCTAAAGATAGAAATTTTACTTTTAAGAATCCCTGGCACAAATACTATATTAAATGCAGAAATAATACAGGGTCCAAAATGGAAAATACAATATTTGGTAATTTTACTATTTCGAATATTGGGATTTTTCATTCCTCGGCGAAATTCCTCCTTTTAAAGTGGGTAATAATGTTACCCACTTTCAAAAGGACGAAATGACTGAAGGCTGTGAAACTGCACTAGATGGGAAAATTACCATTGGCGAACGTAACCTTACTAAAAATATTCCCGTTTCTTTAGAAAAATACATTAGCGTGTAAAATTACCATTTTTTTAAAGTAATATTAACAATTTTTGGAAAATTCCCAAATTTTGAAATTCATAATATACGCACACATTTACGATTTATGCGCCGTGTGCAATCGTTAATGCCCGGCAGCAGTCGGCAAAATGTTAATGTTAATGTTTCTTGTGCAAAAATATAGGAATAAAATATAGAGTCTAATTGTGTTTATAATTATTTTTTCTTTATTTTATAAAATTCTTTAGCGAATATTAATAACTTAAAAGTAAATACCTTCATCGTAATCGCATAAAAGTTTCGTTGAATATTCTTTTTTATTTAAAAAAATATATAACACACCCTTCCCGAATAAAAATAATATTAATAAAATAATGTTAAACTTATATTGATTGAAATAAATAAAGAAAAAAACATTAATTTTTTTGTAAATCGTGCAAAATTTTGAAAAAATAATATTTTTTAAAGCCTTAATTTCATTTTTTTTAATCGTGAAAAATTTTGTGAATTTTACCAAATTTAAGAAAAGTACTATTTATGAAAAGTCATTTTCACTATTTTTGGAAATTTTATAAAATTTCGGAAAAGTACTCTTTTTCAAAGTATATTTACTTTCTCCTGCGTTTAAAATACCAGAAAGTGTAACTGTACAGTTCGTGGCAATTTTCGCATCTCGTCTGGAAAATTACATAACCTAAAAATTTTATTCCCATCGACAGTAAAAGTGCCGTTCTGATAGTGGGTAATAATCTTTCCCACTTTCTAAGTGGTAAAATTCCATTAAGACTTTTTACAGTGTATGTAGAAGTCAGGGTGTCCAGAGGTCAGGGAAGTCAGGGAAATTTTTTTGTCAGGGAATGTCAGGGAATTTAATTAAAAGTCAGGGAACTTTTTAAAAATTTGACAAAAATGAACATTTTTATAATTTCTAAAATTTTTCGGTTCAAGAAAAAGTTTATAATGCTAATAAATAAAATGTTTTTTATTATCTTAAAAATACTTTAATATTTGATACTTTTCATTTTTTTAATATTAAATATTTATTTTCTTGCTGGACACCTTGGTAGTATACATATATACTTTGTGCGCCAATCACCATTACTTTCCACTAATGATATAATTTTGAAGGCTTTCAAGTATTAAAATTTTATCTTAATTTTGAGGTTATGTTCGTTTCTTGGTTAGGGGTTTTTGAAGTTATTCCTGTCGGACATAGCCTCAAACTTAACGTTCCCTTGGCCTATATCCTTCAATTTTGAGATTATGTTTGTTCTATGACCTTGAATTTTAGTGTTATGTTTGAAGTACGGCCTTAAATGCTAGAAACCTATTTCCTAGAATTTTGAGATTTTGTTTGACATATGAATCATGGCCATGATTTTTAAGGTTATGTTCGTTTTAACCTTTATGTTTTTGACATGGTAAGTACAATCCAGGAGACCAGTGAAATCTTTATAATTTATATGTATATATATGTGCCATTCCAGGAGTTTTTTTAGCACTTTTTGGAGTAACCTTTCCAAATTAAATGAAACATTTTTTTACTAATATTTATTAATATAAAGGTCCAAAAAAATCACTTTTTAAGTAAAAACAATTGTTTATTTAAAAAATACAACAATAAATAATGCAAAAAATTCACTTTTTTCCTGCAACTCCAAATAAATTGGTTTAAAGATCAAAATTTTCCTTATCTTTCAAGCTTTAATACCGCACAAGAAACATTGAGTCCGAGAAAATATTCAACTCACAATTTTTTAAACAATGTTTGTTTACTTTTTTGTATTTTATTTACTGTGAAACGTCTGCTAAAGCTGCGCGCGACGTTTGGAAGTTGTCGCTTTCCTTATTGAGCAGAAGCTCATTACACTAGCGTAGTAAAAAACATGTTGTGTGAAAAGTGAAGTTTTTCATCCTTCAAAAATGCTTTTTATGATTTTTTACTGCAAAGTAGATAATTAAAAACCATTCAATGTGATAACCAGAAATTTTTACGTTTCGTTTAATGACAACATAACCTCACTTTTCGCACAACATGCTTTCTACTACGCTAGTGTAATGAGCTTCTGCTCAATAAGGAAAGCGACAACTTCCAAACGTCGCGCGCAGCTTTAGCAGACGTTTCACAGTAAATAAAATACAAAAAAGTAAACAAACATTGTTTAAAAAATTGTGAGTTGAATATTTTCTCGGACTCAATGTTTCTTGTGCGGTATTAAAGCTTGAAAGATAAGGAAAATTTTGATCTTTAAACCAATTTATTTGGAGTTGCAGGAAAAAAGTGAATTTTTTGCATTATTTATTGTTGTATTTTTTAAATAAACAATTGTTTTTACTTAAAAAGTGATTTTTTTGGACCTTTATATTAATAAATATTAGTAAAAAAATGTTTCATTTAATTTGGAAAGGTTACTCCGAAAAGTGCTAAAAAACTCCTGGAATGGCACATATAATGCCGCGTACTTTTCGCATCGAGGGAGCATAAAAAATAATTCTCTTTAATAAAAATTACGCAATACAAATATATATTTTATAATTTAATATATTATATATTTATTTCATAATAATCAATTAAACAATTAAAAAAATATTGCTCGTTTTAAAATAAATATAATTCGTTTTTTGAAAAAAATTTTTTTAAAAAAATGAACAAGTCAAGCACAATTCAGCACAAATTTTTGTTTTTCCCCCAAGTTTTGAGTTTTTTAAGAAATTAATGATTTCACTAAAGAGAATTTTTCAAAAGTGTAATCTTATACGTATAAAAAAAGTTATTTTTATTTTTTCGCTCGGAATTTGGAATTTTTCAAAAAATGAATTCGTACACGAAAGAGAACAAGTTAAGTACAATTTATTATAAATTATTTTTTTTAAACTGTAAACTTAGACATATAAAAATCCAGCGCGTCTCCTTATTGTATGTGAACCCTTAATTTAGCACAATTTTTTTTTTAACAAATTTGGACGTACCCTGGCGGATTCGATTTGCGTAATGTCTACTTAACTAAGTGGACTTTAGGTAGACATTAGGTAAACATGTAAAAAAACGTATAAAAAAGCTATTAATCGACTTATTATGATAAAAAAAAGTTGATAAAAGGGTAAATGAATGTTTATAGAGTAAATTCGTACAAAATTTGTAATTAATAAAGCATTAAATAATTAATAATGAATGGAAATGTGCGCGAGGTACCTGATCAGTTCAGCTGTACAATTATTTTCGTGCTATTTTCATCAAAAGAATATAAATTAACGGCAAAAACAATTGATATTTATAAAAAAGTGTAAAATTGATTTAATTTGAGTGTTTGCAATACGAATTATTAAATAATAATTAAGTTTTTATCAAATGTGAATAGTGTTGTGCAAACCTGTGAAAACTAATGAGTTACTACATTACCGATCGCATATGATAATAAAAAGTTCTCGATGAGTGTAACAAAAAAGCTGCAATTTAACCAAGTACATAATTTCCGAGATTGCCAGAGATGGCGCCACCAGTTTTTACAATACAGTGCGAGCATGTTTTCTTCCAAGCTTTTGCTTTGAAAGAAAATAAAAAGAGAATTTTAAAATGCAGAATAAAGTTATACAAATAATTATTGATTTCATAATTGTTTCTCGTCCAAAATTACGGACATGATTGCAGATTATTTGTTACACTCATCGAGAACTTTTTATTATCATATGCGATTGGTAATGTAGTAACTCATTAGTTTTCACAGGTTTTCACAACACTATTCACCTTTGATAAAAACTTAATTATTATTTAATAATTCGTATTGCAAACACTCAAATTAAATCAATTTTACACTTTTTTATAAATATCAGTTGTTTTTGCCGTTAATTTATATTCTTTTCATGAAAATAGCACGAAAATAATTGTACAGCTGAACTGATCAGGTACCTCGCACACATTTCCATTCATTATTAATTATTTAATGCTTTATTAATTACAAATTTTGTACGAATTTATTCTATAAACATTCATTTACCCTTTTATCAACTTTTTTTTATCATAATAAGTCGATTAATAGCTTTTTTATACGTTTTTTTACATGTTTACCTAATGTCTACCTAAAGTCCACTTAGTTAAGTAGACATTACGCAAATCGAATCCGCCAGGGTATAAATAAAGTTTTTTGACTTTTTACTCGAATTTTTGACAAAAGAGCACACTTTAAGAACAATACGTGTTTTTTGAAAACTTTAACCTTCCTTCCATCAAAAATAGCGTGCACTTATTTAAAATTATAAAATTTATTTAATTTCATTAAAAAATGAAAAATTATGAACCGAAATTACAAAAACAATTGAATAAAAAAAGATTAGGATTAAAAAAAATTTTTGTAGAATTAAATTCTAGTCATTTTACATACAGAAATTTTTAGGTCAAATACAATGTATTTAATTCAAATAAAAGTTTATTTTTTAATAATCTAGTAACCAATAACTTAATTGTTTCTTCAGTTTTGTTTAATTATGTATGCAAATGTTGTAAAACAGATTTCTATTATCATTTTAAAAAAACGTGTTTTTGAAATTATTTCAAAGCTGAATAAAAATTTGCTTTAATAATAATAATAATAGTGTTAGAAATTTTATCATATTTATTTCATTATTACGTTCTCAACATAGGGATATAAATTATATTTTCTTTTAATATTCATTATTATTTTCATAATTAACTTATTGATGACAACAATAGTAAAAAATTAATTAATTAATGATGATAGTACAATAGAAATAATAAATGATAACGATAAATATATTATTATTATATACTTGAGAAAGTTAATATTGATATAGTAATATTGCGTATAGATACGGTCATTGGCAAATCTCATGCATCAATCGATAAAAAAGCTCAGTGTTTTGTTTACGTTTTAGATTCTCAGATTTACGTGTAAACAAGAAATCTCAGACTTGGTAGTTCGGCGAACATAATACTGGCCTCTCGCGCCACCAACTTTTCCTTCATTACTGTCATTCTTGTCTTGTTCTTCTACGTGAAAAGTGCTTCTTTTATAGTTTTTAAGTGTTTTTTAATTTAAAAGAAATATGGATGTTCCTTCATGCTCAGGTGTTATTTCCGAAGTAGGTAAGTAAATTATATAATAAAAAACAATTACAATTTATTATTAACAATTTATTTATTGTTTTTAACATTCAATATTTTTAATTCTCTTTTTAATATTTATAATAATTTTTCCTGAATTATTTTTTTCACATTCAAAAAATTGTTATTTCGAACATTAAAAATTTTCATTCTTTTAACCTTTTTATTTTGTACATAAATATTTTTTTTAAATTTGATTTTTCTGAAACAAAATTTATTTAATTACAAATAATTTTTGTTTGATATTTTATACATTTAAAATATTTATTTTTTTACTTGTTATTTTTTTATATACAATTTTTATTTAATTTATTAAAAATTAGTTTCAATAGTTTACGTACTTTGTTATTTTGTACACAAAAATTTTTGTAAACATTGAAAAAATATTTTCATGAAAACTAACAAATTTCAAAAAATTTTATGTTCAAAATAATAAATTAAAAAATATATGTAATACATAATTTTAAAAAATCACAAGAATTTTTAATGTTTAAAATAACAAACCACATCTTTTTTCAACGTAAAAAAATTGTAACGTTTGTAATTGTAAGAATTAATATTTTAGCTCGCCGAGCCAGGGTTCGTTTTGATTCCGACAAAATAATAACAATAATAACGGGTTAATTACAAACTGATAACAAATTATTTATTTACAACGGTATTTACAATATCAATGTTATACGGAGATTACAAGTAAATCGCGAAAGTTGGTTTTGAGTAACGATTTGTCGGCGTCTATCTATAAAAATGTTGAGCCGCGAAAATTGAAAATCGGCATCAATCTGGAACGTCGCTTATTTGAGCCGTGCATTAACAAAATCGGCTTCAACCCGCTGTGATGAGCCGTAAATCTGTTACAATACTGCCTAAAAATTCGCGATACGCTGGTGAATCACGAGTAAAACTCGTGTTCCAACTATACAAAGAGTATAACTCTAAGTATATCTAAAAACGGAGATTAAAAACGGAAAATCTACTTTAAACTACGTGAATACAATATTATGTTTCTATACATTTCGTTACGTTACTTTAATATACTTTTGTTACTTTACTATACACAATATACATTTAAACCGATATAATGTTCGACGGGTAAAACCCGACGAACGAGAGTAAAACTCTCTACAAAGATTCTCGGAGTAAAACTCCTAGTCAGGTGGGTAAGACCCACCCGGACTCCGTGTAGCACGAGAGTGACGTTCCTCAGCGAGAGCGCAGCTTATATAGCCGATCGGTGGGCTGGGCGCACGCGAGTGAGCTTTGGCGATGCGGCCCGCGCGGCGAAATCGGGTACTATGTCTTTGAGCTCCGCGGTCGGTAACTTGTTTATCGACGCGCGATAATATTTAGTACAAATATTTACCGGCCGATTTCTAACTATCATTACAAAATAAGTGAATAAAAATTATAAATACTTGAAATAACAAAAGTGAAAACATCGAATTTAAAAAAATAATATTAATAACATTATAATATTCTTTTTAAAACTTTATGTGTATTTTCTATATCGACATTATTTTTTTGTTTTTCAAAATTTTCCTGTTTTCTCCAGTGTGAAATTTTTTTTAAACTTGCCTAATTAAAGATTAGGCATCAATCTAACCCCAGCCATACTTAAAATATTAGGTATGCACGAATAAGATAGTATAATTTACTTCTAGCCGAATTTATATTTCATAGACATTCCAATTTAAGGAATTTCAATATAATGTATATAGAATTTTTAATTCAACGAAATTTTATTTTATGGACTTTTTCCTTCGTCTCATTTAAACTTGATTCATTTATCAATTGTTTTAATGTTTATTACACGTAATAGTCAATTTTAAAGGTTTTTCAGTTTACAGAAGGAATATTAAAAATTCTATTTATTGGAAACAAACTTTTGTTTTCCTCTAATTTTCACTGTTTAAACTTTACAGTTTATTTTAATGAAAAATATTTTTAATAATTTATAGATAATTATAAAAAATATATATGAGGCAAAATTCCTGAAATGTCCGAACAAAAAATTAAAAGTTCTCGAATTTAATCCATACTTTTCTAAAATGTTGTTATTGTTGGTAAAAATCTAAAAATCAATTATTATTGAATTTAATAAAATAGTTTTTAAATTACAACGTTTTTAATTTTTGACTTTTGAAAAAAAAATTTTTTTCAATGTACAATATTTATAAGTAGAAAGCATAAAAGTTAACATATATATAATGATTTTTAAAGCTTTTTTGACGAGCTACACGCTGTTAATAAAATTTTTTTTTTTAAATAACATTTGACCTTGAAATTCAAGGTCAAAATGTTAATTTACATTTATCTCAAAATCGGATTTTTTAAAATTATTTTTAACTATCTCAATGGAAAGCTTGACTAATTTCCTACAAAACATGTAATTTTCAGAGTGCGGGATCTTTTAAAGTTTTTGAGATATTAATTAATTAATTAATGTTTATAACAAATGAAATATTTTACAAACGAATAAAGTTACCGTAATTCTGAAGTTAGTAATTGAAAGTTAACGTAATTCCGCATCCAACGAGCCCTATATGAAGTATTTTTGATAAGTAGATTGTTAATAAACAATTAGTTAACATTGCAATTGTTTATTAACAATCTACTTATCCAAAATATTTCATATAGGGCTCGTTGGATGCGGAATTAGCTTAACTTTCAATTGGTAAGTTCAGAATTACCATAACTTTATTTGTTTGTAAAATATTTTATTTTTTACTAACAACAAGCATCCAAAAGCCCTATATGAAGTATTTTTGTTCAATTTTAGTTAAATAACAATAAAAAATGAAATATCTTACAAACAAATAAAGTTATCGTAAATCTAAACTTACCAGTTGAAAGTTAAGCTAATTCCGCATCCAACGAGCCCTATATGAAGTATTTTGGATACGTAGATTGTTAATAAACAATTGCAATGTTAACTAATTGTTTATTAACAATCTACTTATCCAAAATACTTCATATAGGGCTCGTTGGATGCGGAATTACGTTAACTGTCAATTACTAACTGCAGAATTACGGTAACTTTATTCGTTTGTAAAATATTTCATTTGTTATAAACATTAATTAATTAATTAATTAATATCTCAAAAACTTTAAAAGATCCCACTCTGAAAATTACATGTTTTGTAGGAAATTAGTCAAGCTTTCCATTGAGATAGTTAAAAATAATTTTAAAAAATCCGATTTTGAGATAAATGTAAATTAACATTTTGACCTTGAATTTCAAGGTCAAATGTTATTTCAAAAAAAAAATTTTTATTAACAGCGTGTAGCTCGTCAAAAAAGCTTTAAAAATCATTATATATATGTTAACTTTTATGCATTCTACTTATAAATATTGTACATTGAAAAAAAATTTTTTTTTTCAAAAGTCAAAAATTAAAAACGTTGTAATTTAAAATTTATTTTATTAAATTCAATAATAATTGATTTTTAGACTTTCACCAACAATAACAACATTTTAAAAAAGTATGGATTAAATTCGAGAACTTTTAATTTTTTGTTCGGACATTTCAGGAATTTTGCCTCATATATGCCCAGGCCCATGCCCATGCTGGATTCAAGACTAGTTGAATTCTTATGAACAAAGCCTAGGAGTCCATTCTCTATTTAATCTTGAATCAATTTTCGACTTAACATTCGCAACTTAATTCAATATTAATTATTGTGTTGCATAAAATACAATTGTATTGAGTAATTATTTATAAACATTCAATACAAATTAAATAATATATTTTATAATTATTAATTGATATTATTTAAATTAATACATTGCTATTTATTTTAAAGAAAGTATTCTTTGTTTTTTTTATAAATAAATATTTTATAAATATTACATTTGTAAATACAATAAAAATCATAATAATTATATTCAACACATTTTTGAATATAATTTTTTTTAATAAATTTTGTTTTTTTAAGATTATATTTTAATAATTTATCAGCTTTATTATGTATTATTATATATTATTATAATATACCTATAATATTGTAATAATTAATTAATTAAATTTAATACATTATAAAGATGATAAATCTTTAATATAACGTACAAAAACAATATTTACTATAATTGTATTTTCAAAAATACAAATAATGGCAAATACAACAATTGAAATATTTTCAAATTTATATTATGCTTTTATTTTATATTTTTATTGTATTTATAAATATATAAGTTTATTAATTTAATCAAAATAAAAGTTTATAAATTCATTACAAAGTTTTTTTATTCCATTAACAAACAAAAATTTTAAATATAATTTATTTAAATTAATAGCAATATATAAATTAAAATAATTTTATAATTACCCGTGTGGAAAAAGCCACGATCTTGCCCTCAAGAGTTCGGGGCCCCCGGCGGGGGCCCATGAGGGCTGATCCATATGGCGAATCCATGAGGGGCACCGTAGGGGCCCGCATGGATCGCCCTCATGATCGATTAGCAAAATTTTCTAAGTCCAAAAATCAAATATTTTTTTATCACCAAAAAATTAATGTTTATAATGATTCAGAACAACGAAAAACGCGTTTTTAATAAAAATATATTTACACTTTTTTTGAAAATTCACCTGAGATGATTCATGATAATAATCATAAAGCATATAATTAATTATATTTTATAAATTGCATTTGATTGGAAAATATAATTTAATATCTTAACTTTAACTAAATGATGTTAAGCACTTTTCTTTGTTAGGTATTTTTGAAGTTTAAATAGCATCAAGAAGTTAGCATTCGTTTTGAAGTAGCGTGCGTAGCGTAGTTGGTAAAGCGTTAGACTCATAGTCCGTAGGTCGTAGGTTCGATTCCCCCCATGCGTTAGATTTATTTATTTCTCAGGTTTGCGTTTAATCATTAATTCTATGTATGAATTAATTGAAAAATGAAAATATCCGTTAATAGTATGCATAAATTACATATTTTTTAATTTTTTAATTAATTAATTTATTATTACTTTTAATTAT